GGAGCTCTCACTCAATTACCAAACTGGAACAAATTGAGCAACAAAATGACTGTAATAGATTACAGCCTATAGAATTAAGTATCCTTGTATTCTGATATAGTTGAATAAATAATTGGAGGAAAATAACTCTTCCTACAGTAAAATTCCAATTTTAGAATTAAAACTGAAAGTAGAAGAGAGAAATAGCATATGAGCAACAGGCAAACATCACAATAACTGCTGCAGGTAAAAACTGATGATGGGTGCTAAAATAGCATAAAATCCCACAGTTTCAGAGAATCTCCTCCCACAAGATGCTTATTATTAATTAAAAGAAAATGGGAGGGGCGCCTCGGTGGCTCAGTTGATTTAAGCATCTGCCTTCAGCTCAAGTCATGATCCTGAAGGCCTGAGATGAGCCCCCCATTCCGCTCCCTGCTCAGCAGGGAGTCTCCTTCTCCCTCTCCCTCTCCTTCTCCCTCTGCCCCCTCCCCACCTTTATGCTCCCCTCTCCACCCTTATGCTCAAGCTCGCACACAGGGACACTAATAAATAAAATCCTAAAAAAAATAAAATGGGGAGACACTTGGCAGACACCACTTTAATCAAATGACTATGGTTAAAATCACTATGACTAGTGAACTATATTAACATTTCATACCTCATGTGATACAATGAATGAAAAGGGCACATTAATTCTATTCTTAACAAAATATGTATCATCAGATAAAGAAAAGGGAGAACAAATACGAATTGGGAGAGGCAAGGGAGAACTCTGGAATTGGATTAAAAACTGAAGTGTCAGTATGTACTTAACAATTTATAAAATGTAGTATTTACATATAAATGTGTTTCCTTGCTCTGCCAGCTAAAAGGGCCTAGGATGTGATATCGCAGAACTACTGAGCATACCCAGTTACCAGATTTAAGTTTCTAAGGACCGTTAAAAAAAATTCCTTGGAAAAATGGCTGATTCTATGGCTCTGGAAGGATTTACTATAAAGTAAGAAAGTGCTCAAAACATGTTCTGGTACATCAGAAGGAGCTAGATCTGATGGGGCTCCCCCAAGCCAAATCTCAGACATTTTAACATCAATGTACATAAGTATACTAACAGATTATAATCCACTAAATAAATCTGAGAGTCTATACTTAAAATACTGCCACATGAATGATAGATGACATATAGATATACAGAGGATTCCTTACAATAAAATGGTGATATATGGGGGTGCCTGGGTGGCTCAGTGGGTGAAGACTCTGCATTCGCCTTAGGTCATGATCTTAGGGTCCTGGGATCGAGCCCCGCAGCAGGCTCTCTGCTCAGCAGGGAGCCTGCTTCTCGCCTCCTACCTGCCTGCCTCTCTCCCTACTTGTGATCTGTCAAATAAAAAAAAATCTTTTTTAAAAAATGGTGAAATATGTGTATCATGTAACAGAACTGAAAAATGAGTATTTCGTAGCCATCATAATAAAGATTGGTTTAGACAAATATCAAGTGTTGCTAAGTCGGAAGGGAAATGGGATGTTTGACAACAAGCAAGATACTTACATAATCTTAAAGTTTTCTCTCCACAGATTGCTTATTTCCCCACAAGGGAAAAAATAAACACTACAAGGTAAAGACACAGAATAATACTTCGGCCAACTGATCAAAATCAACATTAACAATGAGTTCCTCAGATGTGACATCCTCAAAAAGACATCACTTTTGTAGTATTTTGACTGGCAATACATAACTTTATTCTAATAGAAATTTATCTAGAAAACACGAGATAAACCCAAAGTGGAAAACATTTTATCACACACACAAGGCTATTTTTGTTGTGGAGAACTGATTTTCTCATGATATCTGACAGTAGGGATCCTATCTTTCACATTACCTGATAAAGTTTAATAAACACTGGGTGGATACTCCCTGCATAGACTAAGATGCTAAGTCCCAAAGAGTGTCTTTCTTTATCTGTTTTTGGCCCTAATTCACAGTGAAGATACAAAACATAGTGGTTGGAAGAATAATGAATTTTTAAACTAAGTAAATAGAATTGTTGGGACGCCTGGGTGGCTCAGTCGGTTAAGTGGCTGCCTTCAGCTTTGTCATCCTAGGGTCCTGGGATCAAGTCCCACAATGGGCTCCTTCCTAGTGGGGAACCTGCTTCTCCCTCTCCCTCTTGCCCACTGCTCCACCTACTTCTGCTCTCTGTTAAATAAATTTAAAAATATTTAAAAAAAAAAGAAAAGTAAATAGAATTTGTTTACTAAGTTACATAACATTCCACACTCTCAACTAAGTTTCTGAAAGCAAACTTTTTTCAAAACTTTTTAACACTATATAAAACCAGAGAATTAGAGAAATTTAAATGATCACTTCAAATACATAGTTATACACTATGAAAAGCCTTGTTTTCTGCTCCCCTCAAAAAAGAAAAACCACCAAAGTAAGTTGCAATAACAAGATTTATGGTACACTGCAGTTAGAACCCAACTTTATTGTTACAACCAATTTTTATTTACAGAATATAAATCTCTTCAAAAAGATACATTCCTTCATTTAATCAATGGTGAAAGGCCTTATTAAACAGAAATAAAGCCTAAACATCACTCATATTCAAACAGAAATACAAACGACTTCATTAAAAGTTTCTGAACATACAGCAAAAATGTATTTTTACTTAAGCAGTTACATGAATGAGGCTGTTTTAAATTTTCTTCACTGGCAACCCCATTTTTATCCACAGAACAAATTTTACACTTAAATTAACAGGAGTAAAAATGTAAAAATTAAATTTTAAACATGAAAATATGCAACGAAAAACAGGAAGTATCTCCATTACCAAACAGATTAACAAGTTCTCAGACACTCAGATACTTTCTGAGGCATATCAAAACACCTACATCAAAATTTGCATTCATTTGAGAGGTATCAATACATTTTCAGTGCTGAGACTATTTGTAGCACTTACAGTATATACAAAGCAGCATTATACTACTATGGTTCACATTTGATAAACACAAATTTAAGCTTTATGCCACAATTTTTCAATTCAACACACAGCTAACGCAGTGACAATTATTTATTTTGGTTGTTTTTTGTTTTCTTCTTGAAACTCAATTGAGGAAATCATCACTTGAGAACATGGAATAACGCCAAGTCTTATTTCTTAAGATAACAGTATTATTTTAAAAGTCAAATACTTCATATCATGGAAACTTCACCTAGCTGTAAAAAGATTCCTCAATACAGTACAGTTAAAGTTTCCTCTTAGCGGATTCTACCAATTTATAGTTAGTTTTAATACACAAAAACAACAGGAAACTTCTTCAGATTACTGGATAATAAAAATCTCAGTGTGTCACTACCTAAACTGAAGTAGCAGCACACCACAACCATGCCAAGTAAATCCTCTTGGCTCCTCCACTGTTTTGGGGGGGTTTTCTCCAGGTCACAAAAGCTAGTTTACATGGATACTACCAGGTCTCAAACTATCTCTGAAAATTCCTTTATTAAAGAGTTTTGAAATTTAATTAATGAAACAATTCAAATCAGCCAGCTTCTTCTTACCCTTCACTAACTAGCTGTAATACAACATGTAATGTTTTCAATTTTTATAAACATCGTGTGTTTTGTAAAATGATTAATGGTATTATACCATTAATGGGTAAGATGTAAACAAAAATATGCCTATATTTAGGGATTAAGAGTATTTTACAGAGTAATTTTTCATAACTAGAAAAGCTGAAAGGTTCATAATGAACACAGATTTTACCTTAACCTGTTGTTTGATAACATCTATAGAATAGCAAGTGCATTAAGAACAGGAGAAAAGAGAAAGCAGATTTTAGGACAGAAACCTACAAAAAAGTTGAATTTGGGGTGCCTGAAACACAAAAGGATATTTTTCTATAAGCCTGTCACTTTTGCTCATTCAAAGAGTTGAAACCTTCTATTTCAAATTATGATCCAGAAATGAAAGTTGTTTGTATAAAAACTGTGTTCAGAAAAATCTAATTCATTATGTAAGATACCTTACTGATTTCAGTTCTCAAGTGTTCAAGTAATGCAAACCAAAGCATTTTCTTTTATATCAACACAGTTACAGACTAAGCTTCAAAGATGAGGGAAAAAATCATTTAAAATAACTGATATGCTTTTCTGTCCAAAGACATCAAACCCAAAACATAACACTGTAATCACACAAGTGATATGTAACTGGAAAAAAAAGGTGGTTCGATATAACTAACGTTTTTTTTTTTTTAAAAGAAAATAAAAGCAAAACAGATTGCCTTAATATGTAGCTAAGTTTCCAGTCAAAAGACATTCTAAAATCTAGTAATCTAAGGAAGAAAAATCAGAGCAAATCAATTCTGAAATGAAGCGAAAGCTGCTTTACCACATATTTATAATTCATTTCCTTCTTGCATAATAATTACTTGTGTTTGCCTTTTGAGGAAAGTAGTTTAAGTTGCTGCCAATAACAAAATTCTCTTCCTAGCATAAAGCATTGGTACCTTTGTCTATCAACAGAATGACTGATTAATATCAGAAGCTTAAGTCTATATGACTTTGGAATCCAACTAAAATGCTTATTTAAAGCAATTTAAAGCAGAAAATCAAACTGATAGTATTCACAGTCTTATTATGTGTAATGATACAGAAATGTAATGATACAGAAATCTTCATATAATATAAAAAATAAAAATCTATATAATTTTTAAAGTGAAGGTTTTTAATTTTTTAATTGAGAATGCTTGGGGAAACTTTTTTCCTTTAAATCTGGAAGCTTAGTAACATATTTATAAGCTAAAACAAATATTTGTAGTTCAGCAAAGATGAAAATAGCAGTCGTTAAAAGATTAGTCATGACTTACATCTTTTTTGTCTTTTACAATCCCCTAATGAACAACTTTATATTTAGAGAAGCCAAATGAGATAATCTTAAAGTTGAACCAAGAGCTATTATCATATCTCATATATATGGGGTTTTGATTCACACAGAGTTGTACAAAATTTCAAGGTTTTTTTTTTTTTGTAGAAAAAGGTTAACAACCTTGAAAATAGGAAAGGATAATACTTCAGTCTGCAATCATCACATTATATTTTTAATTTGCTTTAGCTTAGAATCATGACTCAAAAAAGTAGCTCTAGCAGTTAGTTTATCAATTTACTGCTCATAAGAATCTAATCTCACAAAAACTAATGGCCAACTAAAGAATGAAGAAAAGTCATATTAGGCACTGAGAGGCTAAATAAATAAGTACTGACATTAACAAAAACTGATAAACCCTATTTTTCCAGTTCCCCTTGTTATCCCACTATGCAGCCAGAACTTTTGGCTATTTCCAGTCTAAAACCAAAGAGCTGAATCATTTCCTTACCAAAAAAAGGAAAAAAAAAAATCTACAAAAGAGAACGCAAAACAATACACAATCTCATATGCAAGATACAATTCACACTAGTTTACAATCTTTATTTACACTGTTTTATATACATTCCAGGCAGACCTAGCTGAGTTTTGTGCTCATGTTGATCTCAAATGACCATGTGAACAGTATGATTCACTACCATATCTCTCTGATTTCCAGAAAATCAGGTGGTAGCATGGGGTCAAGAGGGGAAAAATAAAATATTACTGGTCAGGTAAGATCATATAAGTACGTAAGGAACAAAAGGAAAAAATGTGGAATTTTGCTTGTTAAAGCATCCAGGCCACTATGGTCTATTGACTGACAACAATGAGTATACATGAATGCCACTTCTCTAACAACCATTTTCATATTTACAAAATGAACTTACTACCAGCTGAGTTATTAGGTAAGGCATTCAAGTTCCTTAGCGTAACATAAAAAAGCAAAAGACATCTCAGCAAGCCAAAGGACAAATTTTAGAGGGATGTTTTTCCTTTAGAATCCTTTAAATGGTGGATAAAAAGAAAAGCAATTTTGAACCCACTTATTAGTCTGCAGCATGATACCAAAGACCTGTACAGGATGTGGTAGCATCATGACACCCAATATCTAGCCAAGAGTGGGGAAAATATCTTATATGTCTCATTTTGTTTCCAACTTCCACTGCATACTCCCAGGGCTAAAGTGAAAGCCTCTATTCCCCTTTACATTCAGTTCTATATGAATCTCTCTGAAAAACAAGAGTATCACAGCTAGCAGCTATGCACAGTCTACCAGCAAAGGCTCAGTGAATCTCTACTCAAGATAGTTGGAAGAATATGGAATAAGGTAGAAAACTGATCTCTCCTCCCACAGTTCTCCAAGATATATATTGTTGCACTTTAAGAAGTCAGAAATTAAAAAAAAAAAAAAAAAATCAAGGGTTTTTTAATATATTATTCATTGTCCTAAGAAAATCTTCCAATTGCAGATGAAAATTCCACCAAAAACATTCTTCAGCTCACTCTAACATTATGTAAAAAGCTATCAATTAATTGGTTCCATTCATTTAGTCAATTAGGTAAAATTCTACTGATCCTATAGTAATATGGTTTATAAAAACAGAAGTGAACATTTTAACATTGGGGAGGTAGAAAACAAATTTTAGTCTAACACTGTTATAGAAACAAGCAGATTTTAAGATTCTATTTATGTAACTAGAATTTACCATTTAAAATGGCCTTCAAGTGTTTCTACTTACTTTATTAGCTTTAAACATCTTGAGATAATCCAAGTATTTTAAAGCACTTATCTGAGAATATAAGTCATTTGGAATAATACATCAAACTCCCCAGAAGATTTCTCAGAGGATATATTTGTAATTGCATATTCTGAATATGCAAATTCATTAAGTCAACTTTGTACATGGGCACTTATGTGACCAAAGTGCAAAGCCTATCAGACTCATTTTCTAAGTTAACCATGACTGCTCAACTCCACAAACCATCAGTCTTCAAAACTTGAAGACTACTGATTGCAAAGATCTAACTTCCTTCCATATAGTAATTGCTACCCTCCTACTCCCAAAGAAAAAAATAAAAACAAAACCAAGAGAAACTAAAACAGAAGACCTCCTACCATGAATATTTCTGTTTAATTCACATTTTGTTAGATTTTAAGTGTATTAGATCAATGTCCTAAATGTTATTTCTTTTAACTGCTTTTAATTTATTTCTCTGAAGCTACATATATCACGTAATCATTTGCTATCATTCTAAAGACATGGAGCCAAACTGAAACATGAAACAAAGTGTTAAGGAATGAATCTGGAAAGGTAAAAAAGAATCTATCTAAATGCTATTTTCTTGTTCCCAAATATGATAACCATTCTATCTTTGTTTCAGAAATTAGCATTTGTTCTACTAGCTAAACAGACAGAAACAAAGAATATTTCAGTAAGTAAAATTTTTGGTAAAAAAAAAATGTGGTATTATCAAATTTTAAGAACAAACTAGTAACTTAAATGACTGTATTTAGTATGTGAAAACATTATTTAATGCAGATTTTGGTAACATAAAATCATATCTATTCCAGGATTATAGGTAAATACTAATATTTATACTGTCAGACTATGTATGCAAGGATAATTTAATTTTAAGATATATTCCCCCCCAAGAAAAACACTTTCCAATATTCGATTCAAAAAGATGTACCACTAAAAGTAGACAGTAAATGTAATTTACCCTCATACACAGATATTTTTCTATTACCACCCTAAGTTATCTATACCAGTATCTGGCATTTTAAGAGTGAATGATTCATATTTCTTATAGTGTATCAAGATAAAAAGGTTACAATGAACACCTAGATTGTTTGCTAAAATTAAAATTCCTAAATTAAAACTTTAAAAAAATTTTTCTCTGGAACATTTTCATTGCTTACACTCAACCAACAGATGAAACAGATAAAAGCAGTCACAGAATTATGTTAAATTTATAATAAATAATTCACATATAACATAGATTAAATTATCAAAGAAAGGATTAAACTGACATATTTATACCTTTTTGCAGATTTAACAAACTTCTAATCCACCACATACTTATAGCAGTAGGTATACTTCTTGACATCATTCAGTCTATTTAAAAAATAGATTGGTTGTTTAGAGGCATAATTTGTAAAGCAAGATAACCAAATTAAACAACAGAATTTTAACAAACATTGGCTTTTCAAAATTTCTTAAGAAAAGATACACAAGCATTGTTCAGCCACTTGAGAATAATCAAATCTCTTCTTTACTCAGGCACTTTTAATGCAGTAACTTCAGGCTTCATTTTAAAGTACTGGTTAAAACGAACAATTGCATACCTAGTGAGAAAAGAATAACAACAGAATTAATAAAAAAATGAAAAACTTAATGCTTCCTTCATTTTCCACTCACCCTTCTAAGCTGATTTTTTTTTTTTTTAAAGTTTTAGGATTTTTCAAAGGATGTATTTTTAGTTTATTGCACCATCTACTGGACACTTTTCTAATACAGTATTTAACAGATTATACCAGATTTCCTTGCAGACCAATTATTTAAATGTATGCAACCCTTATAACATTTGACTGAGAATAATAACTACGGTGTACTCTATGAGTCCTTTGTGTACAAAAAAAAAAAAAAGTAGAGACAAATGTAATACATACAGCACAATTAAACTTACCCAAGGAAATCAAAATCAATGGTGGAGTATTTGGCTTGAATCAAAGCCCACAATCCCCAAAAGAAATGAGAAGCCTAAAAAGGAGAAAAGGAAAATCAAGAATTATAATACACTTCTCTATAAAACAATTATCAAATAATGTTTCCCTTTTTTATCAACTCAATGCAGAATACTGTCTTGATGCTTTTTTTACATAAAATACTTAAAATACAGGTAATACTGAAGTGTACAGTAACCTAGATGGCGACAGATCACTTCTGTCCACACCAAAAGAGGTTAGACTGTATTATAACTGCTTAAAACACAGAGCCCAGGGGCGCCTGGGTGGCTCAGTGGGTTAAAGCCTCTGTCTTCAGTTTGGGCATGATCCCTGGGTCCTGGGATCCAGGCTCTCTGCTCAGCAGGGAGCCTGCTTCCTCCTCTCTCTGCCTACTTGTGATCTCTGTCAAATAAATAAATAAAATCTTTAAAAAAAACAAAAAACAAAAAATGCAGAGCCCAATTCCTGTAACTGTTTTGTGAAGACAGAGTTCAGCATAAGCCCTAATAGATATTGATTATAATTGCTAACAGGCTTTCCTATAAAATACATAATTACCAAAAGACTTTGTTTTTTGACATAAAAATAAAAACAAAAAGGGAAATCCAAATCTCAAAAACAAAAATTATTTAAATATTTAAATATGTAATTTCATATTTAAATATGAAAAATGTTCTAGACATGACAAACATCTGAAAACAATTTTTATTAGCCCAACAATTCTGCATAACCAACCATGACATAAAGTAACATGATTTTACTTATATCAGAGAAAAATGCGTCTTAATACTTTAAGAGAAAAACAGATGAATGTGTAGGAGCTGTAAAATAACTACTTGTGTGTGTGCTGTACAATCTATTTCCAGTTAAACATGAAAATATTTTAAGATTCTGATAATAATTAATAAAACTTCACTTCCCTCAAAGCAGCCTACTCCAACTAGAAATATTCCAACTAGAAAAAAAAGTCTTAAGGGTTTTATTTCAGCTAAATTCCCTATAGTAACAACAAAGGCATCTAAGAAGAAAATTGCTCCACAGCTGTGATCTTAGTATTAAAACAACCAAACAACCCAATTTGACAGACGAAATATCAAGGTGTATGAGAAAGGATTCTTAATTTGAATTGAGAACTGTGGAGGTTCAAGTCCAGGTCCTGCCACTAACTCCTTTTTCAACTTTGAATAAGTCACAAATTTTTAAGGACCAAATCATCACTTTAAAAATATGAGAAACTAATTATTAGCCATTCTGTATTCCACACAGGATTGTTTTAATGATTAATGGAAATTATAGATAGGTAGATGGATAGATATAAATTTTTACCCTCTAAAGAGCTCTTTAAAGTATGTTGTAAAAATATCTATTTAAAAATTAATAATGCGCTTTGTGTTTAACTTCCCCAAAAAACCACTATCAGGATATATAACTTCCCATCAAATACAGATATAGAAAAGAATAAACGATGCAGTAAAGAGTAAACAGAAAGTACACGCACATGAAGCCTAAAGGTTAACTTAAGAAAAAAAAAAAAAGCTGAGCTCTGGAGTCAAACTGCAAAAATTACTAGCTGAATGGCTTTGGGCAATTTAATTAACCCACCTATACCTCTGTTTCCCCATCTATAAAATGAAGAAATGATACTATGCTTTATAATAATAAGAATTATGTATTGGTCTTCAACTACTGTTTCTGGCTCATAGTTCCCCAAATCCTTAGAATTTCATATTAAGAGCAATGGGAACATATTTCTGTTATAATATTTGATCTTGTATCTTAAGTTTCTAGAACAGTTCCAGAGCAATAAAAGTGAAAGGAAATATCTTGTTATTCATAACAAGCCCCTTTCAACTACACCTGTTTATGTTAATGAGGTGACTTTTGGAAACCCCCTCCAGAGGAAGACTGGTTGCCAGGGGAACCAACCATGTGATAAGAGAGATGATCTTCCAGCCCTACCATCTCACCACCTTCAGGGAGGGGAGAAGTGAGACTGAGTTCAGTCTTTCAATGGCCAATGTTTTAATCAATCTTGCCTAGGTAATTAAGTCTCCATATAACCCAAAAGGAAGGGGTTCAGAGAGCTTCCAGGCCCAGTGAACCAGAACACATCTACAAGCTAGAGGGTGGTTACACCCTAAGCTCTTGGAGAACAGAAGTTCCTGTGCTTAGAACCCTTCTGGTCCTCGCCCTAATTACGTCTTCATCTGACTGTTCTTCTGCATCCTTTATGATAAACTGATAAAACATAATTAAATGCCTGAGTTCTGTGAGCCACTCTAGCAAATTATTTCCACCCACAGAGGAAGTTTTGGAAACCTCCACTTTATAGCCAGTGGGTAAGAAGGGTAAGAACAAGTGAGACTTGAGACTGGCATCTGAAAAGGAAGATAGTGGTCTTGTTGAGTCTGAATCCTTAACCTGTGGGATCTGACACTTACACAGAATTGGAGGACACACAGTCATGTCTGAGAATTGGAGAACTACTTGGTGGTGTGGAAAAAACACACACTGGAACCTAGTCTTTATATTCAGTATGTAACAAACATTCAATAAAATGCTAATTAATATTATATAAAATAAAAATGATAAAAATAATAAAAATTTTCAAAAATGGTCTTCTCTCTACCTGAGGAAGTCTCAGGTATTGAGAAGTGAATTATGAGAAAAAATGAACATTCCTTCTTTTTAAAGTATAGAACAGTGGTTCTCAACCATGGGAAATTCCTGAGGCCCAAAACTAATTTTTTTAGTATTATTAATGTGTTACTTGCCTTTCTATTTTAACATCTGCACCGATGTTTTAAAAGCAATGGTGGATGAAGCTAATGGTACCATACAGTATGTCAAGGCAGTGGCACCAAACATACACACACACAAACACACACACACATCATCACAACACACAGTAAATAAAAGGCCAGTCTCACTAAAAAATGTCTTTTATGAAGCCATTGAAACTATTAATTTTATTATATTTCTACCCAAAGGAGGAAGATTCTTTCAAGGAAAAACATTTATAACTGAGTTATGAGCTGAACTTGCTCCACTGTTTAATGGAACATCATTTTTACTTGAAAGAATAACTGATATTCGAACTAGTTATTAGACTTGGGCATTTGGCAGATATTTCTCAGAGAATTTGTCATTTCAATGAAACTAATTGACAGTAGCTGTTGCCAATCAAGGTCTTCAAGTATTTAACCTAAAATTAGAACTTTGGAAAACCTATATTTGACTCTGTGAGTTTCACGGCTTCTCAATACAGTACTTAAAACTTTTTCTAATGATACTAATTGTGATATCAATGGATGTGATATTTTTATATCACATAAGGAGATGTATCAACATTTGTAAGATCTATACAACTCAAATCCATATTTTCCAAATAATGCTTACTAATTACAAAATCACACACTGCTAAAAGAGCCATTGGAGGGGCGCCTGGGTGGCTCAGTTGGTTAAGCAACTGCCTTTGGCTCAGGTCATGATCCTGGAGTCCCAGGATCAAGTCCCACATCTGGCTCCCTGCTCAGCAGGGAATCTGCTTCTCCCGCTGACCTCTCTCCTCTCATACTCTCTCTAATATTCTCTCTCTCTCAAGTAAATAAATAAAATCTTAAAAAAAAATAAAATAAAATAAATAAAAGAGCCATTGGAAGCATATATAAAGCAATGGTTTATAATGTACTGAAGTACAAAAAGTTAACTGATGTTTTCAGACTGCACATTACAACTAACCTTTAAGAAATGATTACTTGCTGAGTTTTGGTGAAGTATCAAAAAGAATATCCACAATTATCTGAAAAGCCAAAATATTCATCTCTTCCAACAACACATATGTGAAACAGAACTTTCTTTATATACTTTAACCAAACCAGTATGTTGCAACAGATGAAATCTTAAAAGTAGATCTAAGAATCTAGCTTTTATTAAGCCAGATGTTACAGAGCTTTGCAAAAGTCTAAATAATGCCATTCTTCTGTTTTTTGTTTTGGAAAACAGTTATTTTTCACTTAAAATGCAATTTTTTTTTTAAACTCATTTCTTTCGGGGGGAAAGAAGCAGGGAGGGGTAAAGGGAGAGGAAGAGAGTATCTCAAGTAGACTTCATGCTGAGCGTAGAGCCCAAATGCAGGGCTCAATTCTACAATCCTGAGATCAGAACCTGAGCCAAAACCAAAAGTCAAATGCTTAACAGGCTGTGCCACTCAGGCATGCTTCTAAGTTTATTATTTTAAAAAATATTTATTTAATAAATATTTTCAATTTGTTTTAACTTTCAATATGATAAATTTTGATAACTAACCTAAATAAACAAAAGCTCATAGAGGTCTTCAAAAAAATCGGGACGTCTAAAGGGGGAATCCTGAAACCAAAAAGTTTGAGATCCACTAGTCTAAATCACGTAGACATACTTTAAGTGATACAAAAATCTTCTGTGGATGCTACTGTAATCTCTTCCTATTGGGCTAGTTCTGTAAGTAGAAAAGACTGAAAGTGGGAAATTCTACACCTAAAAATAGTATCAAACCAGCTCTTCCCACCATCTCAAGCAACATTCATTCATATAAATAAGTGATTCTACACTAGAGGAGGATTATGTATAAAACTTCACAAAAATCTCATTTTGGCAGATAACACCTTTTATAGGGTGAAAAATGAAAAATTTCTGTAACATGACAGTCTTAAATGGATGCAAAAGAAATGCAGGAAAACAGTCCGTTATTTATTTGTACTCCCCAAAGAGAATATTTAAGTCCAAATAAAATAATGTAATAATGTTGTGTGATTTACCTATTTCCTTCAGATTTGGAAATTACAGATATTTAAGTCTATCAAAGGGCATTTCCATTTCTAGGCTACTCATCTCTGCAGCAAAGAAAAATTCAAGGATTTTTATGATGAAAAAATAACTAAAATGTATCCTTTCCTAAAAATCCCTAAAAACTTAGAAATTATCCAAATTCTAAAATTTCCAAAGTCTAAAAACAATGTGTCTAAAGACTCTGAATAGCTTTAAAAACCTGTATGTATACCCCAGTTGATTTTATAGTGCAAATACCTTATTTGCCATTTTATACTAGTTACAGTAAATAATCAGTGAAACATGAAGTCTTTGGCAATAAACAAACATTTGATCAGCCATTTTCAAGGGCACCTGTGTGGCTCAGTCGGTTGAGCATCCCATTTGGCTCAGGTCATGATCTCGGGGTCATGGGATGGAGCCCTGCACTGGGTTTCATGCTCACTAGGGGTGGAGTCTACCTGGGATTCTCTCCCTCTCCCTCTCTACACCTTTCCCTGCCTCTGTGTGCATGTGTGTGTGTACATGCATGTGAACACACACACGTACTCTTTCTCTAAAAATAAATAAAACCTTTAAAAAAACCTCTTTTCCCCACTTATCAAATCAGTTTTATAATATATGTATATTATATAATACATAAATAATTATATAAATATTATAAATAATATAATATAAATTATATTATATAATAATATATTATTATTAAATTAATATATAATATTATATTATATAATATGTAAAATATATGCTGTCTTCGTGACAAGTCATCAAGGAAGGAAGAGTCCCAAAAGAGGAAACAGTATTTAAGACATGTCCAAATGGACCAAGAAGAACTTGCTAAAGGATGCAGGGAAAGGGCATTCTAGGTAGGAAGAAATAACTATAAAAAAGGATACAGGCTTCAAACATGGAGTGTACAGAAAACAACATGACTCTGCTAGAGCAGAAATGGGAGGTAGAAAATGGGAAATAAGAATTTGAAGAACATTATCATTTGGATTTCACTCTGAAGGTCACAGGGGACCATAAAGACTGAAAGTGATACAATTAGATTCATGAATTAGATCTAGTTATTAAGAAGTAACTTTTTAAGTGTACAGGATGAAATACAGACCGAAAAAATCCTGGAGGCAAAGAGACCAGCAAAGGCTAACACAGGTGAGAGATTAAGAGCTTAATTGAAGGTTATACAACTAAGGAGAAAGGGTTAGAATTGAGAGAATTTTAGGAACTGGGAGTAACAAAACTTGGAAATAGAAAAAAATATGAGAATGAAGAGGAACAAAAGACATAAAAGAAAATTCCTTCTTCCCTGGTTTCAGAAAACAGAATTCAGATGGTATTTTAATTACATCAAGATGGAATAAAGAATAAATAATGGGACAGAGGACAAGGTGCATGAAGTAAAATTCAAGACTGGACATACTCCACTCAATTACTAAAGGAACACCAGACAGAGACAGATAGATACTGACTGGGAGACTGACATAGGAAAGAAATTCAACTTAGGCTCATTAACAGAAAGGACAACAAAAGTCATGGAATTGGGGGTGCCTGAGTGGCTCAGCTGGTTAAGCATCTACCCTTGACTCAGGTCATGATCCCAAGGTCCTGGGATCAACCCCAAGTTAGGCTCCCTGCTCAGGGGGGAATATGCTTCTCTCTCTCCCAATGACCGTACCCCTGCTCCTGCCCTCACTCGTGCCAGCTCTCTCTAATGAATTTTAAAAATCTAAAAAAAAAAAAAGGCCAAGTAATAATTAGATTACCCAATGAAAGTACATGAAGTGAAAGGAGAGGGGAGAGGAGCCCAAATTCAGGACACCAGAGAACACCAGTATTATAAGAGGATCGGGAGAAGAGGAAGACAAGGAAGAGTCAGGGAAGGAAACTGAGCAGAAAAACACAAATGAGAAGAACCAAGGAAGAATAGTTATCACAAAAAGTAATGAAAGAGAAAACTGTAAACATCAATGGTACTGTTAAATGATATGGGCAGAGCAAGTTAAGATTAAGTTTAAAAAAAAAAAAAGACAAAGTTTAAACTGGACTTAGTAATTATGTCATTACTGGTAACCCTGACATGAACTTTGTTTTTTTGTTTTTTTTTTTAAATAATGATGGGAGAAGACAAGACAGCAGTGGTATGAGGAGGAATGCATGAAAGATGAAAAAGAAAAAAGATTGAGGGTTTGCTTTTATTTCCCCCACCTTCCCAATTATTTACTCATTCAAACACCTGAGAATGTGACAGACATTTACTAAATGATGGTGGGATGAAATTAAGAGTTGGTTAAGAGAATTACGTACACTGGCTAGCTTAAAAAACAAAAAAAATAGGGGCGCCTGGGTGGCTCAGTGGGTTAAAGCCTCTGCCTTCGGCTCGGGTCATGATCCCAGGGTTCTGGGATCCAGCCCCGCCTTGGGCTCTCTGCTCAGCAGGGAGCCTGCTTCCTCCTCTCTCTCTGCCTGCCTCTCTGCCTACATGTGCTCTCTGCCTGTCAAATAAATAAATAAAATCTTTAAAAAAACAAACAAAAAAACAAAACAAAAACCTACAAAAACAATCTTGAAAAAGAAAGGCAGATACATCAAATCTCAGGAGAATTAGTAATCTCAGTAAGAGGGGCTGATGAAGCCAAATGTGAGCATTCATCTAAATTCTGCTATATTGTTTCTATTCTGAAGATGAAAAAGAGCCCCTGACCCAAGAAAGTAACCCACCTCAAAAGAGAGAGGACTCCAGCACAATTTAAACTAGAAAATGGAACTCAAACCAAAGTTGGCTTCAGAACTGGTTCTCAATGGTTTCTTAATGAGGAAAAACTGGAAAATGGTATGAGAATCTCAGAGCATAATAAACTTACTATATAATGATTATATAAAACTAAAGATTGTGTAAACTGACATGCTAAATGAGAAGTATTATTTAAAAAGTATTGAAGTTTTATATCTCATTAACCACCCTCTAATTCTTTTTCTGTAAGATCTACTGAACATATGACGTTTCGTGAAATGTTTGCTGTACATTTCATATATATATTTTTTTTTAAGATTTTATTTATTTATTTCACAGAGAGAGGGGCCACAAGTAGGCAGAGAGGCAGGCAGAGACAGAGAGGGGAAGCAGGCTCCCTGCTGAGCAGAGAGCCTGATGCGGGCCTCGATTCCAGGACCCTGAGTTCATGAACTGAGCCGAAGGCAAAGGCTTAACCCACGGAGCCACCCAGGCACCCTCATATATTCTTTTTTTAAAAATCAGGTTAAATAGTGTTTTTTTTTTAAATCAAGTTAAATAAATTTCCTTCGAATTCTAATCTGCTAAGATATTTAAAATAGTGATGGGTGTTAAATGTTACCGAAAAGAAGTATTTTGTACAAATTATTTGCCCTTCCAAATTATTAATACATTGAAGAGATGCACTGTTTTCTTCTTCTTTTAAGCCTCCAATCTATATGACCCAAAGTAATAATTATTAGTAGATATCTGATTAATGGATATGTATAAAAAACTTGATAATCAAACCAGAAGTAATTATTTTTCAATACCATGTATAAATAACAACTACAGTACCCAAAGCTGCTAATTTTTTTTAAAAAAGATTTTATTTATTTATTTGACAGACAGAGATTACAAGTGGGCAAGAGAGGCAGGCAGGGAGAGAGAGGAGGAAGCAGGCTCTCCACGGAGCAGAGAGCCTGATACAGGGCTCGATCCCAGGACCCTGGATCATGACCTGAGCCAAAAGCAGAGGCTTTAACCCACTGGGCCACCCAGGCGCCCCCAAAGCTACTAAATTTTTATCATCAGAAGTTTATAAGGGAACCTCAGTTAGCTCTCTTAATAGTCAGCAGTGGTGCTGTTTGAGAATTTATAAGCTATGTGGACTTTTTGTGGAAATTAATAAACTAATGCATTAGGAACAATTTATGTTAATGGGTACATAAAAAAATAAATTATAGCAATAATATTCCTCATGTTAATATAGAAATTGGCTAAACAGAAGTATTACAGTGATTCTCAAGTTCATTAAATGACCTTGTGAGAATGAAAACCCTACATTCCCTACTTTAAGATCATCCTTAAATAGAATATTTAGAAGCAGCAGGCATCCTAGTACCAGCTGGAGAGCATGCCATTAATTTAGTCAACACTTCTACTGAAAGTAGATACCAGAACAGAAGAGGAGTCAAGTTTCAGCACACCCTCTTACCTGAGATGTATTCTGAATGGCTCTGGGAAAATGTCGCTCTTAAGACAATGCAAACAGTAACCCATGAGCCATCGACAGGGTCTATTTGTAAAGACAATACAGCAAATATTCCCCATGTCAACTGTACCAAATTATATTAAAACTAAAAATAAGTAGTTAAAATAACTTCAACCTAGTATTCACTTGTGTAACACCTTAGCTGAAAGCTCATTCTAATTTATCACATCAATCTCAAAAGGTAATTTAAATGAACTATTATTTAAAAAACAAATGTGCTTGAAAGTACAGAGAAGCTAGGTCTAGAAATAACTGCTCATCAAAAGAAGATGAAGACAAAATACTGGTTACGTTATGAAAACATAATTCTACTGGCTCTTCCAATCTACTTTTAACATCTTAAAATGTGATGATTAAACATACTGTGGAAAATCTCATTTCCCATAAATCTGTTTTTGATTATATGTTTTTTGTAACATAAAGAAAGCGAATAGATATAATATAAAGAACTGTCTCACAATTAACCTTAACTCTAACTAGAATCCATTCATTAAATAATTATTAGGCACTTACCATGTGGGTAGGCACTATTATTCTAGAGGTTAGGGATACATCAGTGAATGAAACAAAATCTCTATTCTCAAAAGCATTACAACAGAGGGACTATAAACAACAGTGTTTTGTCCTTATTTGAACAAAAATGTTCAGAACTCAAAAAGGGAAACTTTTAGAAGATGATGAAAATTTAAAAGCTTTTTAAAAGTATATTAAGAATCTTACCAAAAAAAAAATCTCTCATTGTTTATATTTAAACTTACCAATGCAAACTGATTGACCTGAATAAAGAGTACTTCCACCTCCTTTTCAGTAACTTCAGTCCCAAAGCCCTTAAATTCTTTGTATGCTTCAAGGTAAGAACGCAACCATTGGCCCTGTAGTTGTCTGTCTGGATAGAGACTATAGTCTACATCACTCACACCTGAAATGGAAAAAAAGTATACTAAAGATTTTAAAAACACATAATCTCCTATCTACTTTAATAATCCCTAAAGGAATCCTAAAATAACTAGATGTTAATAGCATTTATTAAAATAATAAACCAAAAAATCATAATGTATTCCAACTTAAATTCTAACACACAATACATTTCATCATCATAATCAATTCTTACTGCTTCAATTTCTCCTCAAAGTGTGAAAGCTTCAACCACCCTCAGAAGCCCCAAATCTTCATTTTAAGAAGCACTTCAGGAAATTCTTTTGCACACTAATAATATTTAGAGCATTTCCTAGAACTGCAGTTCTAAAAACATTTTTACCATTACTCACAGAGTAAGAAATACATTCTATATTGAAACTTGATACACTCCCTTACCATTAAGTTCCACAAAAAATATGTACCCTAACTATACCTTCAACTCTGGTATTTTCTAATTCTTTCCTTCTCCATTCCTTGCTTTAAAATAATTACCCCGCAAATCTGGTTTTAAGGTGTGCAGTTTGAAAAATGCTAACTTAAAAAATAAAGTTCATAGTATTTTGCCTAACACTCAACGTTCTTCTTAAGTTGATCCAAACTTTACTTACCTGGTCTTATAACCCAACCCTTAAATTCTCCTTCATGACTTTATATCCTACAAGCAGGTACATTCACCTTGACATTTTCTTCCTCCTTCCTGCAGTGCCTTCCTTTTGTTCTATCTGCACATCTCAAATTCTACCTAACTTGCAAGCTTTAGCTTGATTTTTTCCTACAGAAAATCATACTAGGATCACCGTAGTTTCCTCTTTCAGATCCACAGCAGTGACTACCCATCATACTAACAAGGATATGGTGGTATCTCATACACGCACAGCTCTCTTCCCTCCCTACAGATATGTGAAAATATAACAGCACATGAGTGGAGATATTAGCATGCGTATGAAAAGTTTGGTATAGGAAAATACTGAAAACATGTAAATTAAAACCCCTTCCAATATTTTCCTAGTCATCTCATATACACACAGCTCTCTCCCTCCCTACAGATATGTGAAAATATATACAGCACCTGTGTGGGGATATTAGCATGCATATGAAAAGTTTGGTATAGGGAAATAACTGAAAACATGTAAATTAAAACCCCTTCTAATTTTTTCCTAGTCATAACCTAAAATATATGAAAATATAGAAATGCATGAATGTATACAAATACAAATTCAGCAATGAAAAGTTCCTACAAAGTGTAGGAGAATTTCCTAATCTTTAGTTTTAGAACATTTTGTGTGTTTCCAAATATAGTCATAAAATGTATTTTAAATTAATTCCTTTTAAAATAAACCTGAAACTTTTATACTCGAGAGTGATAAAAGACTAATTTTCAGGGGTAAAATGTAAAGCTTTACAATTAGTCATAGCCAAAGAAAAAAAAAAAAAAAAAATTATTGAGCTTCTTATTCCTAAAGTTCAAGTATACCATGAAAATAACAGTCTTTTAAATGATTTAATTTTAAATCCTAGTTCTCTGCATTTTACTGTGATACTGGTAAATTACTTTCTCCATTTGTAAACTGGGAATAACCTAACTGATAGGAATGTGGAGGAAAAAATGAGATGAGATTTATGAAGCACCTTATACTACCATCAGGTCTTACTCTAAGCCACAAGTATTCTTTCTTTTCTTATTTTCCTTAAGGAATTAAGGAAAGGGTCTTCTCTTCTCCTTCCTCCAGTAATAAAGGAAAACAAAGAGCAAGGTCAGAAAAAGGCTAAAAAATATTGTTCCTACTCCCAGGCGAACTTCTCTAAGAAAAAACTGCAAACCAAAAATACAATTCTAAAGGTATCATTTCAAAGTTATATATGTTGCTCCACTAGTTAAGCCTGGATTTTACCTGCAAATTCATTGAAATGATTTCCGATATCATATGCCAAGTAGTTGTATCCAGAATATTCATAATCAATGAACTGTACATCACCTATGTGAGACACAAAAACAAAGACATAAGAAATCATATATAAGATGAGAAAATCCCTATGCTATTTGTAATTAAACAGCTTCCAAAATTTTGTCTCATTGTATGTGCTTGGTTACATGCACTTCTGAGACAATACAGGGTAAGGCTGTGAATTTTATGGCAATGAGCTTTACAAAATTCAAATTATATATTGTCAACAGCTTCTCTGTGAACATTAATGTCCACTATATTAAAGAAAAGTAAAAATAATCATTCTCCAAATTCAAACAAAAGCAAAATATCTCTTTCACCACAAGGGGGCATCAGTCACTTAAAAATTCAAGTTTAATTAGAAATGAAGTTAATCTTTGAAAAGTGTTAATAAGCTATCGCAATTTTAATAAAGTATGATACTCTGAAAGTAAACTGACAAGCTACTTTACATATATAAATCAAATATAAACTTTAAAAGACTTAAATTCTGTGAACCCTGCAGTTATGCTATCATACTTGATGACAAACAATATCCCTAATTTAAGAAATCAGTTGCTATAAACTCTTATTTTCCTGCAATGCTACGTAAATAAGATTTCTAATAGCATACCTGAGCAGCATTAAGGTGGTTGTTTTATCTTTTAAAAAAAACAAAGGTATAGTCATTTATAATAAACTTTTAATTTGAGAAATTTTTACATAAGCTAGATTCCTATTCTAAATTAATGCTAAATATATATGCATATTTCATTATATTTCTCCAAAGACAATCCTGTTCCACCTGCCCAAGGGACAGACTCCTGCTCAGGAACATTCATTTTTGAGTACTAAGTATTATAGAGGGTTTGTCTCAACAAAGATATAGGTCCTTCTTAAAGAGAGATAAGAGAAAAAGTTTGAGAGAGAGAGAGAGAAAGTTAGAGACATTAAAAAAATAAAAATAAAAATAAATATGGGTCACTGTCAACACCAGGCATCACAAACTCAAAGGCTTACAGGGTCATACAGTTAAAATGGATACACGAACAGAGATGGCTGTAAGAACAGTTTCTAAGCAGCTTATATTGAGAAAATGCATAGCAAATGCCTAGTAGTGTACACTGTCTTTTAAACATCAAACTAAAGGAACGAAACAAACTCCTGGTCTGCACGCAATGGCATTTCCTAAATAAAAGAACTCTTGAACTATATCATCTTGATACAGATATATATGTTTAATTTAGGGGTATATGTTGATCATATCCAAACTCAGAAAAAGAGAATTACATGACACAAAAATATCATGGCAAATGGAGTATTTTACATAAAAGCAAAAAAGTTTTTAATGTAATTGCATTAGTATGTAATTCTGAATTTGTATAAATAACAGTCAAGTCTAGAGTAAATTAAGTGAGCATCTCCAGAGTATCAAAACCGTTATCAAAATCTACATACTGACAAAATAAAGTTTTAAAATATTGGTGACTACAATAAATCACTGCAATTCAACCACCACAAGTATTATAGTCTTGAATTCAAAAAACTACCCCACAGAAAATCTTAAAGTTAACCAAATCACTTTACTAAATTGCAGAATGGGAAGTGAGAACATGTTTTAGAGTCTGTTCTAGATACCACTGGGAATAAGAGGGTGAAGACCACCATCATGATTAAATACTCTGCACCCATGAAAAAAAGTTTCATTTTCAAACTTAATCTTAGCCAAAAGGCCGAGAAGCAAGAGAAGTTTCATTTTCAAAAATTATTTGATGACCAGGAAAATTACAAATGTTATATGAAAAAAAGATACAAAATAGTAAACACAGTGATCCAAAATTATTAAAATATTATGCCTGGAGAGAGAGAAAAGAACACATAATGCATAGGGGGAAAAAGATGAATGGAAATTAACCAAACAATACGTTTCAACTGGTTTCTTTACAGGTGAGAGACAAGTGACCTTTTTTCCCTTGTATTTTAAATTACTTACAATAAACATTACTTTTAGAAGGAAAAAAAATGACAGTTTAAAAAGATTATGAATTCTCTAAACAAAATTGTCAATAGATAAGAGACTAATAATAAACAGTGATCTGGGATATACCTATCCAGCCAGCCTTATGAAATCAGGATTCAAGAAGATTCAACAGGTTGCACAGCTGAGCCAACCAAACAGTTTTAATACACAGGTTTTTTTTAAATTGCAGCTGTTGATTGCTTTAACTCTTTAAACACAAATTCTTGTAGAGCTCATATTAACTGTTACATGCCAATAAAAATACACAGCCCAGTCCTGAAGCTTACTTTTGCCACATAAACAGAAGCTTCAATTTCAATTTTCAAAATTATATTTAGAATTTGGCAAATACAGTTAAAATGGCAGGTAAAAATGCCTGCTTGTAAATACAATTTAAATAAAGCATAGATCATTTTAACAAAAGCTAAAAATCTGTTTCAGTATGAAAATTTTAGCAATGACTTTTTGTAGTAGCATTAATTCATTAAAACTAGCCTTTATTTTTAAATGCAATGTTGAGTTTATAAATAATGAAATTTAAAAAATAAGAAAATGAAGCTAACAAGATACAGATGAGGCTGTTACCAGGCTCCGTGCATGTGAACAAGTGATGCGATAAACCTCCAGTCAGTGCGTTTAAGAAGCACGGGGTGCGCCGCCACATGGCAGCAACAATGGCATACCTAATCTGTAGCAGATGAAGAAAATTTGGCAAACTCACATTTTACAAGACACAAAGCTTAAAAGGAAAATTGTTTTTTAAAAAAAATCTGTATTAACTATTCTTTTTTCAAACTATGGCAAACAAAGTGGAACTCAACCTTAAATTTAATCTTCTGCAACAAAATAAAATTACAGAGGCCTACTTCACTTATTTTGGGTGCCAGAAAAATCAAATTACTGGAAAATGGTTTCCTACTAACAGAAAACTTTTTTCCTTGTATAAATTTAACTTCTGATTTCTTAAATTTCCAATTGTTTAGAGGAACATCCACATCACAATTAAAAATTAATTGCTCATATGAGACAACTATCTTGTTAAATTCTTTAAGACATGAATTTTTAATTGAGGTTTCAAGGGTGGAAAAAAATGATACTACTCCCTAAATTTTTTTTTTACAAAATTTTATATGTATGTTCATTTTCTGAGGGCATTCTCAAATTTCTAGATAATTCAAGGGATCCCTGACCTCTAAAAAAGTAAAGAAGCACTGCTTTAAGGGTTAAGACTATGTATTATTTATCTTTATATAATTAGCACACTGACTGCACATAAGGGGTAAATCATAAGATTAATGAATAACATTATATCCCGATTTTTCAAAAGCTATATTTTTCTTTTCATTACTTTATTTCCTGTGTATCTTCACAGAAATGAAATCCACACATTACTGAGTTTAGTTGTTCAAATCTTAGTGCAGCTGAAGTCAGCCAATTTTTAAAGTACTTCAAAACCCCCAAAATTAATTTATTAATTAAGGCTGTAAAATTCACATGCTACATTTGTTTGGATTCCCTTATTTTGTTAAGGAGAAAGGGATAAAAATAAAAAGTAAAATAACCAATATGAGAACTTGAAAACCTTTTCGACTCACTCTACTTACTCTGCAGTGTTAGGTAAGGCAGAAAGAGAACAAAGAGAAAAAATAACCACAATTACAGTACTGTTAGCAAAATGCTTTTTCTCTTATACAAAGAAAGGGAATATTCTGCTCTGAGAAACTTTCCCTTCATCCCTCACTCTGGTGTCCAGTAGTACCTGTATAGCTTCACCACAATGCTCATCATTCTGAACATAAATATCTGTTTCATGATCTGACTCCTCCACTATATGGAATATGGCTTCCTGGAAGGACACTAGGTCCCTTTCATTGTTCATCATGCAATCCACACAGTAATCTCTAGCACACAGTAAGTATTTAAATGCTTATAAATGGAGGGTTTTGCACAGAATGCTAGACACAATCATAACACACATATTTAAATGGGTAGTGGCAAAGAAGGAATAAGCATTAAACACTAAGAACAAAGTATGGCATTTCTGACATTCTTATCCACGTATATGCTTGGACATATAGTGGGATGAATGAATGAGAAAGAAAAAACACTGAGCTAGTAACTATTTTAGGCAGCTCTTCCTTTATAGTTCAGGTTTTTATAGTCCATTTAAGCTTTCGATAACCTGATTTTAAGGGTATTTTATTTGATGGTAAATAGTAACCAGAATACACGTTAAACAAGGTTAAGACTATCCTTCATAAAAACTTCACCTTGGAAAGTACAGGTTACCAAATACAAAAATAAATTTGTATTTACTTAATTTTAAAACAAAACCAACAACAAAAAACCTGTCATTAAAATATCAATGAGACAACCAAACCACAATATCTTTCATGAATACTAACTAGAGTGGGAAGATTTGGAGCCAATCAAGTGACTGAGAATGGTGCCTCACACGTTTTTTATTTATAATGTGTAAATGTGTAAACTCTAAAGAAAAACCTGATTTACATTATAATTCCCAGAAAAAGCTTTCTTTTTCTTCCACTCATGTATATTTCTTTAAAATAGCTGTAAATCAGCATCTTGTATTTCACGGACAGTGAGAAAAAAAAAATCAATGACTGCCATTACTGAAATTTAAAGTTCTGTATTAGATCTTTATATGACCTTTTAATGAAGAAATGGGGAGAGGGAGAGAAATGAAAGAGCTACCAATAAACATTCAGACAGAGCACCAAGACATGAGAAAACATACTCAAAAGCTTTAGCAATTAACTTCTAACATGGCAGCAGTTAAAAGGGGTTAGTTCAAATTAAAATATTAGAATTGAAGTCAGTTAGTCTAAGTTGAAATTAAAATATTAGAATTGAAGTCAGTTAGTCTATAAGCAATACTACAATTCATTCTACTTAATAAATTCTTTTTAAAAATAATGATTAATTTAAAACTGACAGTTCTGGAAGCAAGAACACTGCTTCCGATTCTCTTACTATGTAATAAATTCTATCATCATATCATTAAGTATTCTTTCCTTACCTTTTTAAGATGTCATTTCACTGAAGGCAAGGAATGGGCCGTTGTTTACCAACCACCTAATTCCTGGCACTAACTTTTCAAAAATCTTGACAGCTACCATCACCTTCAGAAAGGAAGCTCACTCTTCTCCCACATTCCTGTGTCCTGTCAACTGACATGGTGAGAACAGGTAGAGGCAGTATTTCTTCCTGTGATGCCTACCATCTCCTGTAACATTCACAGGTGCAGAAGCCTATAAACTGCAGGTGCTCACAGTCTTTTTGTATGTGTGTGTGTATAAATATGTACTTACACATTCATACACACAAACATATATACATATTTAAACTTTAGTCACTCAAGTTAGAGTTAAGATAAAATCTAGAAGCTGCACTTGAAGACAAACTGAATTGTCATCTCATACCTATAAACCACAATTGCCCTAGTTATGAGACACAGTCAACCACTGGCTTATGTAACTATTTTCACTTTTTCAGAATCAAGTACATTTTGTAAAATGCATCCTATAAACATAATAAAGAGGTTGGCAAACTATGTATGTTCAGGCTAAACCCAGCCCACTGTGTGGTTTTGTAAATAGTGTGGAACACAGTCACATGCATTTATTAATGTATTATCTGTGGCTGTGTTTGTGCTACAAAGGAGTTGAACAGTTTCAAAAGAGGCTGTAATATGGTACACAAAGACTAAAATATGTACTATCTTCACCTTAGAAAAAAAGTCTGCCAACCCCTATTATAATAACAGCAGCTGTGAGCTACCAAGTACCTACTCCAATGCTATGTACTTTATATACATGATCTAAAATTTTGTCAGCAACCATTTTAAGTAGTTATTACCTCTAAATTAGAAATAAAGCAAATTAAAAGTTCTAGATTATTAAAAAGTATAAAAACTGCATGGAAACCTGTTAAATATGCAGATTCCTAAACCCATCTATAGAAATTCTTGTTCTTAGATGGAACCCAGAAACCTCCATTTTTTCCAAGTACCTTGGGTGATTCCGGTGCAGAAAGTCAAGAATCAAATATAAGCACTTAATAAAGAGATACAAAGCAGGTGCCTGGCTGGCTCAATCAGTGAAGCATGTAGCATGCTAGACCTCGCAGTTGTAAATCCAAGCCCCACGTCAGGTGTAAGAGATTACTTAACGATAATATTTAAAAAAAAATTAAAATAATTTGTCTAGTATCACCTAGTTCTGTATGTGATTGAGCAAGAATGTAAACCTAAGTGCACCAGTTCCAACATCTACATTCTTTCCAACTTTTCTTAGTTGTAACTAAGCTCTAATACATCTGCTTTTAAGAGTTACTTAGAAATGTTTAATCTGGTGACAGTATAAAAAATCTAAGTTATTATGGTTGAAAATTACAGTGGAGACTACAAATTGATCCAGTATAAATTCATGAAGTTTAACTAAAATCTGCACTTCTGAGAAATGAAGGGTATGAAACATACTACAGAGAGATACTGAGCTTGATGATGTTAAAGCCCATCTCTCGGCTTTCATCTTATTATATTTATATATTTCTAATTCAAGTGGGTACAAAATAGTGAAGTGCTGAACTCAAACCACACGAATGCCTTAACAAGTGATAACAAATTAAACACATCTGTGAATATAATATGCAACTTACTTATTCTACGTAAAAATTATTTTAATCTCAAAAGACTTCACCCTCAGCTTTTAGATACTGTAACAAGTTAACCAGTTAAGGTAAAGAATTTTTGCAGTTCCTAGTTCTAATTATAATTATCCTCCTTGAGATTGCAGCTGTAAGTACTAAATCTATAGTCTAAACTTTTTGTTCATTAATAACTAAATTTACAGAGTTTATAATTTCTTAAGCACAAGGAATGCTATGTTCTCCTTATAACTAAAGGAAAATATGTCATACAGTTATATTACTTTAAACAATTCGCTCCTAATTTGAAACACATAATAATACACGGAACAAAGCTTCTGCCACACTCTCATGAGTTTTAGATTCTACTTGAACATTCCAACTCTATTTTCTTAATGCTATCTATCAACTAATCACATAGCAATTGATTCTTTTTTTTTAATGGATGCCATAAAGTCCAAACTTGTCTTCCTAAAAGTCACTATAAAACCACTGGTAAGGAAAAATAACAGAACATATCCATAACTAACACACAAATATAACCACAAAGACAAGAAGAAACAAATGGTACACAACAGACTTCTTGAAGAAAGGAAAACTCTAAAAAAAAATATACAAAATAGTTACATTTGTTGAACTGTGAAATTCATTCTTCTGTGTAGGGAAGAAAAATTAGGCACAAAAATATGATTTAGGTAACTCCTGGTAAAATAAGCAAATGACAATCTTAAAATCTTAGAGTCAAACTGAAACAGAAAGATTCTGTCTGAAAATATGAGAACTTTTCATATCACTGATCAACAGTTTAGATAGGCAACTGATTGAAAGTAAAATGTATTTTTTTAATACCTAAGACAAAGTAATCTGATTTTTTTGGTCCCTTATATTTTAGTTTTATAAACAAGTTTGCTCTGTGAAATGAATATGCAAAAGAAACTTATAAAATAAAAATATGAAGTTAAAATATATTCCAAAGGAAATAACAGATTCTCTTTGATTAACTTGCAGTTAAAAATAAAGCTGAGTGTCCACTTCAACAAGATGAAGTCCCTCATTTGAAATTCCATTATATAGGATGTGTTATTTGGTCTTACACTGAGCTTAAAAGCTAATACATCGTTTTAATATATAACTAATACCCTTCTCTGTCTCACAAATGGCATTGAGATTTGGTTACTAGTATATAACATATTCTATACATAACAATTATATATAATTTATGGACAATAAATAATAAAGAACACTGTCAAGTACACCATGGTTTAGGGTACACCTGAAGATTTTTTTTTTAAGAAGTTTCCATACAAAGACTTCACAACATTCAAAATAAAGATGTCAGCTCAATGTATTTTTAAAAAATAGAATCTCTAATCCACAGTAAAATATAAAATATAAAATGTATTCAAACATGTTTTTAAGAATACGTGCTTCAATCTACCATCCTTGACAGTGCTCTTTGGTTGATTTTCTTCAAGTTAAAGTTAGTTATAAATATAAGCCACCTTTGCATTAGAACAGGAACAACTTAAACTCTATTAAGAATGGTCACAATAGTAATTTCATAGTATTATGACCACTTAATCAAACTGTTTGACTTTTGTATCTTTACAAAAGCACAATTTTGACTGAAAATAGTCTTCCAACTATAATGCCTATTCTCAAAACTGGTTTCCTTTAAAATGCAAGTTTCATAGTTTCAGACTTTTTGAGTTAGTACTAATAATCCTTCAACCAAATTGTATTTTCAAATTTCAATTCAGCATTGAAGGGGCATCTACATTTTAGCAACCAAACCTCAAACCACTTTATCCAATAATATAATACAACCAGTGTCTCCTAAATACGGAAACAGAGAATTTGGATACACCAAGATATGAACAATCACAGAAAACATTTCACCAAAACCTATCACTATCTGTACCTCAAAATTACTAAAACTATTTCCAAAGCTTCTTGATTACTTCTTTAACAGATATAAATTTCAACAAGTACAAATAACATTTCCTCCATATGTGGCTCTCTCCTTAACATCAAAGTATCTAACAAATCAGAATCAACAGGTAACAGAAAATCTGGAGACATATTTGCTTCTAATACTGTTGTCCTTCCTAATACTGAGAAAATTCTGTATTTATTAAGAGCAGTGCAATGTCAGTTGGTTTTTCAATAACCCCCATTACAAGCAGGTACATTTTCAAACCATGAATTACCAAATAGGTTTCACAGTTAAATTTAAAAATAAAGTCATTTTATCATTTTTCATTTAAAACTCTTAACAAGAACCACAAACTTTCTAAGAAACATATTTTATACAAATATATAAAGAATATATATTCCTAATTTAGCAGTTACCATGACTTTACAACCTAAAAGAAAATCTTTTAAGACTTCATGTTTTTAATCCTTACATCTGAATTAAATTTAGCGGTATAAAGATCAAAGGACCATTAAGAACATCAAAGAAATCAACTTTACTTACTGCTAAGGTCAGATACCTACCTTGTTTCTCATTGTAGATTATATTCTTACACAATAGGTCATTATGGCAAAGCACAACAGGTGAGCCCAGGTTGGAAAGAATCTCCTTCATCCAAGTCATTTCTTCCTGAAGAATCTGAGAGCTTGGGATATCACTTAAAAACCTTTTAGTTTAAAAAAAAAAAAAAAAAGTTATATATTGCTTATATTAATGACTTTTTTCACATTTAAAGACTAACATCTATTTTTAGCGAATTCTTTCCATTCAATTACATAGATTCCTGAATTAAACCAAGCCAATTATTATAAAAGCTGGAATAAAGGAAAATCTTTACTTAATGAACTTAATATGAATAAAACAAACTAAGCAAGTTAAAATGAAGGGCAGTAAAGTAAAAAATCTGTTATTACAATATTGGAGGAGAAAAGTAATATATATACTTAATAGATAACATTTAGTAAGCACTATTCTAAATGTTTTACATTTGTCTCCAAGACAAAAAAAGTTTAATAAAAAGAAGTTTAAGTATATTATTTAAAGTTACAAGACAGTTTATTAAAGAACTAAAACATCTATTTCAAGCTTTGAAGGGTGAATGCAGTACAAATCAGCTAAATTTACCTATCACAGTCAACAGACAACTACTATTGATAAACCTTATCAATTCTATGATAATCATAGACATCTATGATAATCATATCATAGAATACTCCATTATCTATTATAGAAACTGTCTCAGAATAGTGAGCCTGGGAAGTATGGTAGGTAGAGTGGCAAACAGGACTGGAGATCATGGCTTTTTAATTCTTCAGTCTTCTGAACTCTTCATTACACTACATGTATATTCATTTGATAAAAGTAAAATGAAACAAAAATATGGTGCTACCACTCATTCCTCAATAGCACCATCTGGCTTTAAAAATTGCTGTTAGTTTATTCTTTCTCTCCCCTTAGCACTGTTTTCTTCATTCTCTCTCAACAGTCTCTCAAATTGCAGCCTTACTTTTCCATTTTACAATATAATAAAGATTCTCTATTAGTGAACTTAACTTTAATGAATTTGCCTATTCAGGTGGTTGCTGCCTGTATTTTCCCACTACTGTATTCTTCTTTACATACAGCTACCAAAAATAATCCTTATATACTTTTTTCAAGATGGTGTAATGGTTCAAGAATCTATCTGAAAGGTACAGAGTTGACTAGAAGTATCAGAACTGAAAGGATTGAACATGATAATTACAATCATATACAAACAAAAAGGAACAGAATGTGAACAGATTTTTTTAAATATTTTAATTGTTTTTAAAGTTTTAGTTTTAGATGATCTATTAGGGCAGGGTGCTTTTTGCATGCTGTTCTACATATGTTGTATATACTAACTCAATTAACCCTCATAAAAACTCTAAAAGGTAAATATACTACTCTTGTTATTTCCATTTTAATTTTGCCTAAGATAACACAGCCGAACTCTTTTCTTTTTTTAAAGATTTTATTAATTTATTTGACAGACAGAGATCACAAGTAGGCAGAGAGGCAGGCAGAGAGGCAGGCAGAGAGAGGGGGGAAAGCAGGCTCCCTACTGAGCAGAGAGCCTGATGCTGGGCTTGATCCCAGGACCTGGAATCATGACCTGAGCAGAAGGCAGAGGCTTTATTAACCCACCGAGCCACCCAGGTGCCCCATCACAGCAGAACTATTAAGTGGCAGAATTAAGGCTTCATCCTAGGCAGTCTGGCTCCATAGTCTTGTACTCTTAACCTACACAATACTATACTGATATATCTCAAAAAGTTGAGAAAATCATACATTCACTACTGTCACCTACTTCTTCATTATTTTTAAATTTTTCAATAAAATAGTTACTTCAAAAGAGAATTTTGTCATTTCCTGGATATCTAGCACAACGGACACCTTTGCAGATGTCTGCCTATCCCAGTTAAAAGGGTATACTATTCCTAACAAATTCAGAGTTTGATAAACTACCTACAAATAAAAACATATTCACTGAATGAATCAAACTAAACTCTGAAATAATAATTCAACAGAGCAATGAATTATAAGAAGTAAAAAGAATTGTGAATTGTAAGAAATAAGAAAACCTCTATAGGTCCTGCCTGTCTCTACTATTCTTAAAATGAAAAATTCCTGAATACAAGAGTTGGGAGTATGTTTTGGATACAAAGGAGAAAATAGAATTCCTAATTTTTGTACCAATAATGATCACACTATAAAAAGATGTTCATATAATTTAGATTCTAAATGCTAATTTATAAATTTTTTAATAAAAAATAATGAAATACCTTACTTGGAACCTGGGGAGTTAGATTTACAAAAGCTGAGTAGGACTCCAGTAATTGAATTTTCAACCTCATTATCTAGGACTTGAATAGTCTCAGTAAACTAAGACAACCTCAACTTTTTCACACTCTAATATTACTATACTGCCCCAATGCAAATCTCTAGGTCTATTTAAAACAGCTTTGAAAAAAAAGAATTCTTATAAAAAGGGCTCCATGGCCAACTCATTCTGTGCAAAAAGTACCATTCATAGCAATCACTGTATTTACTTCCAAATAAGTGTTCTATATTTGTTTCTTGGCTGGTCACCTCTACCCACTCCCCACCTGTACCCCAGGCTTTGTAGGGTTTTGTTGTTGTTGTTGTCCTGCTTTGTTTTTGAGTTGGCTGAGGTAGACAGTCATATTAACATAGTGCCACCTGAGAGTCAAATGAATCAGTGCAAACTTAATCAAATGCAAAGACAGCAACCAAACCAGATTATATATACAAAAACCTTGTAAGCTCTCTCGAAAACTTCATAGCAAAACAAGGTAAAACAATTTCAAATGTAATAGTAAATTTACCTTTTATTAAGGTCTTCATCTGCAAATCCTGTGGGAATGAGAGAGAAATATTTTCCCATCTTTAGCCATAGATTAGATTTGGGAATCCAGCCATTGTGTGCATGGATAGCATGGATTTTAGCAAGCTGACGTGCTATTAGCCTGTTTTAAAACAAAGCAGCATAAAAAGAAAATGTTAAGCATCATAGAGTTCATGTCTATTCATGAGTAAACTAACTTAGTGTGCATTCATTTTATAACATGATTTCATTTTTACCTAATATAAGAGTCAAAATAATTTGTCAAGTCACCTCTCACAAAGGAAAGGCAAGGAAATGTTTAAAGCATTAGTAGGAAGAAACACCTACAATTAATTCAGTGAATAAATATTGTGTCCAAAAGAGGTTGAGTATCTACAAGTAGGGGGTCTATTCTGATTACATAAACAATGGTTAGGACCAAAACACAATTATAAATAATTTCAAAGCCCGTATTAGACATTAATCAGAGATACATTTAAAGTTTGAGCCTTGTCAATGAGGTTAAAGGACAAAAGAGGACTAAAGTAAAAAGGTAACTGGGCAGAAAAAAAGTTCATTCTTATAACTGTGTTAAAGACAAATTTCCTGAACAAACATTAAGATTCTATGATGTCAGAATTAATCTTTATTCAACAATAAAATAATTTGAAGCTGTATATACATGTATCCATGCTATCTTTGTATTTGTAGAACCAAGAACAGCAAACATTAACAGAAGAATAAGCACACAAAACAGAAATAGGTTGGATCACGAGGGGGGAATAAGAGATCAATGATATCGTAAGGTGAAACAATATTAGAATAATTGGGATCCAAGAAGAAGAAAGGGGGGGGGCAGAAGGTATACTGCAGCAAATTATAGCAGAGAACTTCCCTAATTTGGGGAAGAAAAGAGGCATCGAAATCCAGGAAGCCCAGGGAACCCCCTCAAAATCAATAAAAATAAGTCAACACCCCAACATCTAAGAGTAAAACTTAACAAATCTCAAAGCAAAGAGAAAATCCTGAAAGCACATTGGGACAAGAGGTCTGTAACCTATAAGGGTAGAAACATTAGATTGTCAGCAGACCTATGCACAGGGACCTGGCAAGCCAGAAGGGATTGGCATGATATATTCAGGGTACTAAATGAGAAAAATATGCTAAGAATACTTTCTTCAGTTAGGCTGTCACTGAAAATAGAAGGAGGGATAAAAAGCTTCCAGGACAAAACAGAAACTAAAAGAATTTGCAATCACCAAACCAGCTCTACAGGAAATACTGAAAGGGGTCCTTCTGAACAGAGAGAAAGCCCAAAAGTAACATAGACCAGGAAAAAACAGAGACAATATACAGTAACAGTCACCTTATAGGCAATACAATGGCATTAAATTCGTATCTTTCAATAGGTACTCTGAATGTAAATGGACTAAATGCCACAATCAAGACACAGGGTATCAGGTCAGTTAAAAAAAAAAAGCCAAGACCCACTGATATGCTGTCTTCAAGACACTCATTTTAGATGCAAAGACAGCTCCAGATTTAAAGTGAGGTGGTGAAAAACATTTATCATGCTAACAGACATCCAAAGAAAGCTGGGGTAGCAATCCTTGTATCAGACATTAGATTTTAAACCAAAGACTATAAGAGATGAGGAAGGGCACTATATCATACTTAATGGGTCTATCCATTAAAAAGATCTAACAATTATAAATATTTATGCCCCTAACATGGGAGCAGCCAATTATACAAAAGCCAATTAATAACAAAATCAAAGAAACATATGGACAATAATAAAATAATAGAAGGGGACTTCAATACCAAATCCTCACGGAAATGGACAGATCATTTAAGCTAAAGATCAACAAGAAAATAAGGGCTTTAAATGACACACTGGCCCAGATGGACATCACAGATATATTTAGAACATTCCATTCCCAAACAACAGAATACACATTCTTCTCTAGTGCAAATGGAACATTCTCCAGAACAGATCACAACCTGGGTCATAAATCAGGTCTCAACCGGTACCAAAAGACTAGGTCCCTGCATATTTTCAGACCACAATGCTTTGAAACTGGAACTAAATCACAAGAGAAAAGTTGGAAAGAACTCAAATGCATGGACGCGAAGAGCATCCTACTAAAGAATGAATGGGTCAACCACGAAATTAAAGAAAGAACAATTTTAAAAATTCATGGAAACAAATGAAAATGAGAACACAACTATTCAAACTCTTTTGGTTTCAGAAAAGGCAATCCTAAGAGGAAAATATAGAGCAATACAAGCCTTTCTCAAGAAACAAGAAAGGTCTCAAATACAGAACCTAACCCTACACCCTACACCTGAAGAAAGAATAGCAATTAAAGCCTAAACCCAGCAGTTAAAGAGAAATAATAAAGATCAGAGCAGAAGTCAATGAACCAGAAACCAAAACAACAGTAGGACATCAATGAAAGTAGGAGGAGGTTCTTTGAAAGAATTAGTGAGACTGATAAACCCCTGGCCAGACTTATCAAAAAGAAAAAAGAAAGGACCCAAAGTAATAAAATCATGAATGAAAGAGGAGAGATCACAACCAACACCAAAGACATACAAACAATTACAAAAACATATCATGTGCAATTATACACCAGCAAATTAGACAATCTGGAAGAAATGGATGCATTCCTAGAGACATATAAACTACCAAAACTGAACCAGGAAGAAAAAGAAAACCTAAACAGACCCATAACCAGCAAAGAAATTGAAGCAGTAATCAAAAATCTCCCACAAACAAGAGCCCAGGGCCAGATAGCTCCCCAGGGGAATTCTATCAAACATTTAAAGAAATAATACCTATTTTTCTGAAACTGTTCCAAAAAATAGAAATGGAAGGAACACTTCCAAACTCATTTTATGAGGCCAGCATTACCTTGATCCCAAAACCAAAGACCCCACCAAAAAGGAGAATTACAGACCAATTACAGAGAATTACAGAATTATAGACCAATTACAGACCCATGCTAATGAACATGGATGCAAAAATTCTCACCAAAATACTAGCCAATAGGATCCAACAGTACATTAAAAGGATTATTCACCAGACCAAATGGGATTTATTCCTGGTCTGCAAGATTGGTTCAATATCCACAAATCAACGTGATACACTACATTAATAAAAGAAAGGACAGGAACCATATGATACTCTCAACAGATGCAGAAAAAGCACTTGACAAAGTACAGCATCCTTTCTTAATTAAAACTCTTCACACTCTAAGGATAGAGAGTATACACCTCAATATCAAAAAAAGCCATCTATGAAAAACCCACAGCAAATATCATTCTCAATAGGGAAAAACTGAGAGCTTTTCCCCTAAGTTCAGGAACACGGGAGGGATGACTACTATCACCACTGCTATTAAACATGTACTAGAAGTCCTAGCCTTAGCAATCAGACAAAAAAAGAAATAAAAGGTACATGAATCAGCAAAGAAGTAGTCACACTCTCACTCTTTGCAGATGATATGATACTTTATGTGGAAAACCCAAAAGACTCCACCCCAAAACTGCTAGAACTTATACAAGAATTCAGTAAAGAGGCAGGATATAAAATCAATGCATAAAAGTCAGGCTCTCTGCTCAGCAGGAAGCCTGCTTCCCCCTTTCTCTCTGCCTGCCTCTCCGCCTACTTGTGGTCTCTGTCTGTCAAATAAATAAATGAAATCTTTAGAAATCAGCTACATTCCTATAAATCAACAAAAAGACAGAAGAAAAAGAAATAAGGAGTCAATACTATTTACAATTGCACCCAAAACCATAAGATACCTAGGAATAAATCTAAAGAGGCAAAGAATCTGTATGCAGAAAACTACAGAGTACTCAGGAAAGAAACTGAGGAACACACAAAGAAATGGAAAAATGTTCCATGCTCATGGACTAGAAGAACAAATATTGTGAAAATGTCTATGCTACCTGGAGCAATCTACATATTCAATACAATCCCTATCAAAATACCATCATTTTTTTTTTTCCCACAGAAATGGAACAAATAATCCTAAAATTTGTATGGAACCAGAATAGACCCCGAATAACTAGAGGAATGTTGAAAAAGAAAACCAAAGTCGGTGGCATCACAATTTGGAACTTCAAGCTCTATTACAAAGCTATAATCAACAAGACAGCACGGTCCTGGCCCAAAAACAGACACATAAATCAATGGAACAGAACAGAGAACTCAGAAATGAACTCTCAACTCTATGGTCAACTACTGTTCGACAAAGCAGGAAAGAATGTCCAATGGAAAAAAGACAGTCTCTTCAACAAATGGTGTCAGGAAAACTGGACAGCCACATGCAGAAGAATGAAACTGAACCATTTCCTTATACCACACACAAAAATAGACTCAAAAATGGATGAAAGACCTCAATGTGAGACAGGAATCCATCAAAATCCTTGAGGAGAACACAGGCAGCAACCTCTTTGACCTTGGCCGCAGCAACTTTTTCCTAGGAACATCGCCAAAGGCAAGGGAAGCAAGGGCAAAAATGAACTATTGGGACTTCATCAAGATGTAAAGGTTTTGCACAGCAAAGGAAATAGTCAACAAAACAAAAAGACAACTGACAGAATGGGAGAAGATATTTGCAAATGACATATCAGATAAATGGCCAGTATCCAAAATCCATAAAGAATTTATCAGACTCAACACATAAAGAACAAATAATCCAATCAAGAAATAGGTAGAAGACATGAACACACATTTCTGTAAAGAAGACATCCAAATGGCCAACAGACACATGAAAAAGTGCTCAACTCGGCATCAGGGAAACACAAATCAAAACCGCATGACATACCACCTCACACCAGGCAGAATGACTAAAATTAACAAGTCAGGAAACGGACAGGTGTTGGCAAGGATGCAAAGAAAGGGGAACCCTCCTACACTGTTGGTGGGAATGCAAGCTGGCACAGACACTCTGGACACCATATGGAGGTTCCACAAAAAGAAAAATAGAGCTACCCTAACAACCGAGCAATTGCACTACTGGGTATTTACCCTAAAGATACAAATGTAGTGATCCAAAGAAGCACATGCACCCCAATGTTTATATACCAGCAATGTCTACAATAGCCAAACTATGGAAAAAGCCCATATGTCCA